AGAACGCTGGCGTTGTAATCCTGGGGTCTCGGGTTCGATTCCCGGCGGTGCCCGAATTTATAACTTGTGTTGGGCAAGGCCTTGGTCTAGGCAACACGGAGTTTTCCTCCGTGGCATTCACACACAGAAGAAGGCAATGGCAAACCACTTCTGGATCATCTGCCAAGAACGTATATGAACAGGTCCCAGTCCGAGAAACGGATGGAAGGATCCTGTTCATATGGACCTGTCCTCGGACAGAACACTAAAAAAGTTGCTCAGCTGCTCATAAAATTTAACATCATTTATGAAAACAGAGAGTTCATTACCGTGTTCACAACAGCTCGGCATTTAAACTTATCCTGAATAAGATAAAGTCAGATCATAATAATGTATCCTGTCCTCTAACAATAAATTTTTATGTCATCCTACCTTCTATGTCTAGGTCTAAGAAGTGGTCTTCTTTCAGGTTTTTCCAGCAAAACTTCGTATACATTTCTCATCCATTCCGTGCGTGCTGCATACGCTGCCAATATCATCCTCCGTAAAATTAACCCACGTCTTAAAAACATATTTCTTCCTCTTTCTTTCTTTTTTTCTTTCTTTCTTTCTTTCTGTGTGTGGCCTCACCCAGGCCCAAATTCACAGCCGTTTCTCCAGTAAGTGGTCAAACTGATTATTAACTCTCACACGCAGTGAACTTTCGGAATCTGTGGATATTTGCCTCCACGTCCCCGACGTTTCTGTGCGTCCAATTCGAAGAACATGGATGAAAGGACGTCCAACGCCGACGGACGCTTCAATTCACTCGTCTGAAACGTCCTCTGATCTCCGATTCATTATAAATCTGTCTTAATTTAGTTGCTAGGCAACCACGCACTCTTAATGACAGAGTGGTCTATGTGCGTTCGCAGATTTGTGTCACTGTCCGCTCAACTCAAGACAGAAAAAATGGGGCTTCAGCTGGTCTCCTGCCAGCACCGCTCAGTCGTCGCCCTTCGATTTCCAACTGACAGCTTTACAGCGCCTCTCATTAATAATATCCTGCGATGGTGCGAACCATTTGTGAAGTCCCTTCTCCACCCGTACATG